ATTAACAGTTAAAATGACGTTTGAATAAAAAGGTCTTTGCCTGGCGCCGAAAAACAACGACGGCGCCAGGCGGACCTCTCTGGGGAGCGCATTCCATAGATTGGGCGCCACCGCAGAGAAAGCCCTCCTCCGAGTACTTGCCCTCCCAGTTTCCTTCACGGAGGGTTCCCGGAGGAGGGCCTCTCCCGCTGATCTCAGGGGGCGGGTGGGCGGGCATATATGGATGTAAGCGCTCCTTCAGGTAACCAGGACCCAAGCCATTAAGGGCTTTATAGGTCATCACCAACACCTTGAATTGGGCCCGGACTTCAATGGGAAGCCAGTGAAGCTGACAGAGGACTGGAGTCATGTGAACATAACGCCCAGTCCCCGTCAGCAGCCTGGCGGCTCTATTTTGAACCAATTGAAGTATCCAGACCGTCTTCAAGGGTAGCCCCACGTAGAGCGCATTACAGAAGTCAAGGCGGGAAGTCACCAACGCCTGTGTCACTGTCGCCAGGCAGTCGTACTCCAGGTAGGGGCGCAGCTGATGGATCAGCCGAAGCTGAAAGAAAGCGCTCCTCGCCACTGCTGTCACCTGAGCTTCCAGTGAAAGCTCTGGGTCGAGGAGCACTCCCAAGCTGCGGACCGTGTCCCTAAGAGGGAGTGCAACCCCATTCAGGACTAGGTTCAATTCACCCTCCCCGAAGCCCGATCCGCCAACTAACAGGACCTCCGTCTTGTCTGGATTGAGCTTCAGTTTATTGGCCCTCATCCAGCCCATTACCTCGGCCAGGCACCGGTTCAGCACAGCCACTGCCTCACCTGGATTGGTGGAAAACGAGAGGTAGAGGTGGGTATCATCAGCGTACTGATGATTCCGCAGCCCACACCTCCTGATGACCTCTCCCAGCAGTTTCATGTAGATGTTAAACAGCAAAGGGGACAAAATGGACCCCTGCGGTACTCCATGGCATAGCTGCCATGGTGCAGAGCCATAGTCCCCCAGCACCACCTTCTGGAAATGGTCATTGAGATAGGAGCGGAACCACTGCAAAGCAGTGCCTCCAACCCCCAATCCCGCTAGCCTATCCAGAAGGATACCATGGTCGATGGTATCGAAAGCCGCTGAGAGGTCCAGAAGAACCAACAGGGACGCACTCCCCCTGTCCTTCTCCCTGCACAGGTCATCGTACAGGGCGACCAAGGCAGATTCAGTACCGTACCCAGGTCTGAAGCCGAACTGAAATGGGTCCAGATACCTGAATTACCTGAATGGTATGGGAAAGAGCTGTATGCCAAATACTGTATATGTGACAGGTGGCCTTGGATTTCTCAGGCATAAAGAAATCTGCATAATTAAGGCAATACAAGAGAAGAATTATCCAAAGAACAGCAGCTATACTCCACCAATCCTTTTTCTCAATATTGCTATAACAGGGGCTGCAATCTCTTCAGGAAATCTCTATTGTAAACCAATAGGCATCTTACCTGAGATACCAGAAACTGCCTGGAAGATGTTTGCATCAACCTAGAAATTATTTTATTTTTGTTTTAGGAGGCCGACCCTTACAACATTAAATTGTGTATCAAAGTTCTCTTGGATTAACAATTGATGGGCAGATGTGGAAGAGAAAAATAATCCAAAATACATTCATGCTAACTGGAGAGCTTATATGTCTTTAAGGTTAAATTCCAGTGTGCTAAGACTTGTTAAACATCACATAATGGCTGGGTTTGTATAGTGCCTTAAGCTATGGTAGTTTATAAGCCATGGTGGTCTACTGTGTTTTTTGAATCCAGCACTCCCTAACTTAGCCATGGCTTGTGATAGGCTTTAATAAGCTCACCATGGCTTATTGTGTTGCCAAAATCTGGACCAAAAAATAAAAAAGCTATGATCAAGTGAAAAAAAAAAATGGAGAACCCCTTAGCAAAAGCAGTAGACACACAGGTGTCAAAGCAGCACTTAGGGATAGCTAGGAAAAGCTTCCACACTCTATACTAGCAGCAAGGGAGGGCTTCAAAACCAGTGCAGGCTTGTTCCCTCAAATCACAAGCCGCACAGCCCCATTCTTCTGTTGACCAAATGGTCAGTGTTCTGGTTTGCATATGCCCTTTTAAAAGATTTATTCTTGAGAATAACCTTCCAACAAATCATACCAGATGGCATGCCTGAGCAGTCCTCAGCTGGTCCTCTTATACATTGATCATTAAAGAGTTACACATAACTTAGTTGACACTTTCCAGTAGTTTAGTTTTCCAAGTAAAAAGCTACAGTGGTGTGATCTTTCTTGCTTGCATACCAAAGAAGATGCTCCAAAGGAATGGGTAGGATGGGTTGCTATTACATAGAAGAGAAGGAGAATGGGGTGGGTTGGCATGAATTTCCCTGTGTTTGAGCTGCTGTTACCTGTCAAGTGCCAATTAGCTTTCTCTGGAATGGTGCCTGGTTAATGTCAGCTACATTTCAAGGATGCACCCATGCTGATTTCTAGAAAAGAGGAATTTTCTCTAGCCTAGCTATGTGTCAATGATTGCATGATTTTACCTATGAAAATTACACCTATTGATTTGTACATCACTTCCACTAGAGTTTCCTTCAGGGTTTGCCACTTCCTAAGGTGCTATAGTATAGAGCAAATTTTGCAGTATACTCAAGGCACTATTTTGTATACAGGTAGTCCCCGTACATCTGAGTTACCAGAAACCCATACTTATGAATGAACTGTCATAAAGCCTATTCATTTTTTTAAATACTGCAGAAAACAGTGATCACCATAGAGAGAGAGGAAGTGAAAGGGTAGATAGAGAGGTCTCCAAAGCAGGCCTTCCTGCCCCACCCATCTGGAGAGGTCACTGCAAACTATATTTTCAGTTTGTTTGATTGTTTGTTTTTATAAAACGGTAGAGTGGAAAGCACCCTTTCTAGCAGAATCCTCAGGAAGAGATAGGAGGATAATCGTATTGGCCTGGGCTATACTTATGTTCTCCAAATGTAGATAAGACAGAGGTGCTTTTTAAGAAAGTCATGCCACTGCTACCACTAAATGGCTTGTTGCAGCTCAGTAGAAATCTTGGAGCTCCTGTAGTGTTTCCTGGGATATTGGAGGAGGACTGAGCAGGGGAAAAGGAGGCAGGAGACACCACATGACCCCTACTTTGTCTAATCTTATGTCAGAACAGAGGAATTTTAACCACAATTAAACCCAAGGGGTTTAATCTATTGTGTGATGCCAGCCACACAATAGATTAATAAACTAAATTAAGACATGGAGGCAAACTTAGTTAAGGAAACATAGCCATGGGAGAGAATATAGCAGTGGTGTTTTGCATGCAGAAGTTCCCAGATGTAATCGTTTATGAAGATCTCCTAGCAGGTCTTTGGAGGATCATTGCCTGAGACTTTAGAGAAGCACTGCTGGTCAGAGTAAATAATACTCCAATACATACATCACTTTTATTTTACAGTATTTTTATACTGCGTCATATCTAGGCAAATTCTGGAGCAGGGAATAATAAAAAGATAAAACATAGAGGAATAACACAAATTAAAAACCATGGCTGGTCAGCAAGAAAGGCATCCCAAAGGTGTGAGTGCTTGCCTGACTTCCATATTTCCACAGAAATTGAGTTGCCATCCTGAAGTCTTCTTTCATTGTAGCCTCCACTCATGCTGAAGGTTCATGTGGAACCAGGAGAAGAATGTCTTCTGATGACTTCAGTGACTGACTGGTCATGTTGAGAAGGGCAAAGCCCCTCTATAGGATATCCTGGTCCAAAGTTATTCAGGCAAATATGGCAAAGCATAGTTTAAAAGACAGCCAACCTTCACAGTCTGTTCACAGTGGGAAAGAAGTTAATTGCAAAGATGAGTGGAATGGAATATAGAAATAGGCATTCAGTTTTAAACTGTTGCTTACCTGTTGTACAATTGGCAGTTAAAGCCGCAGTTTGAATTTTAAATGGTGATTAGTGCAGGCCATGGTTTGATCTGATATCTGAATTGAGCCACTGAGTTTGAACATTAAATCTTTATGGCAGCAGAGTAGATATATCTAGCAAAAATCTTTGGAACCTCTTAATTAATCATTGCATTCAAGTAATAGAGAGGATAGGTTAGAGGCAAATGGTTAGAAGATTAAAGTCTTATATCTGCTGAATGTGTTACTTGCAAAAAGTCTGATTTTTTTTTAAACTAAAGCTGAATGTGGGGAATCCATTCTGGATCAGGAGTATAACATTCAGAGAGGGGAGGCTTAACCTGCCCCTACCCTGCCACAGTCTTGCAGAGCAAGGGGAGGAAAAATCTTTGCACTGCAAATAGCAATAGGGGAGATTACTGTTATTGGCATTATTGTTTTTTTGTAGTGCAGACATGACTTTTTTTTTACAGCATCACAGCAGGAGAGGGAAATGTAGTTGTGTTTCAGATGAGGTTCCTTCATTCTTGATTTTATTTTTTTTTCCTAAACTTATTTTGCTGCAAGCTGTGCATTTAATGTCATTTTGAAAGGTATTTGTAATACATTGTTCTGTACTATCTTGTCAGTTTATAGTATATAATATTATCTGGCTTCTTAATATTTTCCTTTTTACTAACCACAGTATCTTACTTAACTTCCTTGAATCTTCCTTGAACGTTGCCACATCGTGAAAGTTACTAAGGCTGCAGTCTGTGTGATACTAACGTAGAAGTAAACCCCATTAAACACACAAAGGAATTTAAAATGTAGCAAAATTCTTAGAATGAACTAAAGTTATATCTTTAGAAGACCTTTCATAAAAGAAAGGCATGAATAATAAAAATGTACTATTCTTGTGTAAGTTCTGTAGCCTAAATGGCTATGCTAAAAGCCTTTAGATTTAAATGTATGACATAACTATATATCCTTTTGTTTAGTTCTCATTCACTTAATATATTTTTTCAATATCAACTGCATATGAAAATCTTACAATATTATAATAATTGTCTATTTCATATAAAATAATGGATTCTCCCCCCCCCCTCTTTTGGACAGTTTTGGTATGAACCATGATGGAATTGGAAATTCTTGTGGGACCAAAGGTCATGAAGCAGCAAAACTTATGGCAGCGCACATTACAGCAAACACCAACCCCTTCTCATGGTCATCCTGCAGCAGGGATTATATCACCAGCTTTTTAGAGTAAGTAGTCTCTGAAGAAAGTTGATGGATTCTTGGGGAAAAAACCACTCCATCATGCATACCCTGCTGGGGTGAATATATAATAATAAAATGTTTCTTCCATGAGCCCTAATCCAGAAATGTTTGCACATTATCAAATGGGTTGTGTGTACACTGCTGTATATAAGGATCCCCTTCACCAAAGGAATGGTCAGTGCTACCACATTTGACAGTGCTGACAGAGCAGAAATAGGAGTAAAGGGTGAAGAAGAGATGCCATCCTACAGTGGTCAACAGTTTAGCCCTGACAGTGCATCCATCTTAGTGCAGGGACCTCAGGAACCCCTTCTCCAGGTAATTGTTGTACTTTTTCCTTCTTCAGCCTTCTTTTACATGTCTAGACTTCATATAGGATAGTGTTTGGTTTCTGTCTGTGTGTTGATGGGCTGGTGTAGATAATTGGTCCAGTTTATATGTTACTAAAAGTAATCCAGCATGGTTTCTACTGTGCATGATTTCTTGCATGGATGTGCCTGAAAGATAATCAGGAACATCACGGTAACTCTGACTTTGACAACCACATTCAGGAGCCTGAGTTCATTTAGCTGTGGCTGTCAAGCAGTCTCTGCTACACAAACCTGAGGCACTGCAGAGAAGATGAGGAAGCTGTTCAGGCACCATATTCTCCTGCTCTAGAGGGGACTGCTTGCTGGAGCAGGTGAGATCCCCTGATCCACCTTCTGGCAAAGCAGGTAACAGGGATCAGCTGGACAGCCCTGCAGAAACGAGCTGCATCCCTCTCCAAGGGAGGTTCTGTACATGGACAGCAGAGACAAGCAGCTGCACATGACAGTGATTGGGGACTGTGCAACACAGCAGAATCTCTTCTGCTTCCCCTCTCACTTACCAAAACAAAACTCTTTGCCCTGCTCCTCTTGAGCCAGCAGCAGTGGCAAGAATCTGCAGCAGTGTGGAAAGGAGCAGTGCCACTCAGTTGATTCCCCTGCTGCCCCTTTCACATACCAGAGGGAAGCACCTTGCATGTATAAATAAACCAGCAGCAGGAGCAAGCATCCACTGGGCAGCAGTGTGGAAAGGAGAAGCACTGTACAATTAATTCTCCCTCTGTCCCTTCTGCATGCACCAGCTGCATTCACCAGTCCCTCACATATGTGAACAAGCAGCAGTGGGGTCAAGAAGCGGCTGAATGACGGTGGCCAGCTGAGGTTGAACACTGTAGTGAATTCCCTTGTATCATCCCTCTCACATGAGCAGCAGAGTGAGAAGCTGCTGAATGGCAACTGGTGTTCAATTGTAGGCTGTATAACGCAGCGGATTCCTTCACTGCCCTCTTTTCTTATTCTGGCTTGCCAGAGAGGTTGTTCCTCTTTGGCAAGGCAGAGCAAGAAAGGGATGGCCCAGTGCCATCTCCCCCTCTCCACCACTGCTGAGCTGAAATATTAATTTATATTGTTTTGAATATTTGGATTAAAAATAAGTTGCATCACAACAAGAATGTTAATAATTGGAAATAAACACAAAGCTTATTATATCTTAGCAAGTTGTCATCATACAAGGTTACAACTCTAACAAACCCTCAAACAAGTTGAATTGTTCCCTGTCCATCCTTTGTATTTTATCTTGCACATCTGTAAAGCATTGGCAAGAAATTCAGATGTTCTAAAAGATACATATTTGTCAGCATTAGAGAATAAGAAACAAACCTTTACAAAAGATGTCCTTTTGGTAATTTTAAGAATGGATGAATACAGTTTTTTCTGAGATCTTTATGGATAAGAACAATCTAGAAGTTCATGAACGTGTAAAAGAAGGCATCTGAACCCAAGTTTTTTAAACTGCCTCTTTGGCAGGAATTAGGGCAACTGCATGAGCATTTTCATGTACAGACACTGATAAGCACAAATGGCATTTTCACACAAATTCAGCAATGGCCTTATACATTCTCAAGGTATTATACATTGCATTGCATTGTATTGGCCTAGACTGGATTAGTGTTGGGTTTATTTCTAAAATGTTTTTAGTTTTGTATGTCAGAAATACAGACATTTATACAAAGTTAGTCTGAGTTCAGCTATGAAAGTACTCAACAGAATAATATGATCCTGACTGGTAAATGCAGTTTCTCAATTCCCCCTCCCACCGGCGCGCGCACACACAGTTCCCACCAAAAATAATCTTGTCTGAAAGAATTGTGGTAGCAGTGTTACATAGTTTGAAGAGCTAATTTTAATGAATAGTTTCAGTTTATGATAGATTCTTTTTGCATGTAAATTATGGTTAGGAAAATATACATATTTCTAGTCATAATGATGTGAAGAGGATCATTTGGGCCTCGGCAGTCATCTAGAGTATTCCATAGTAAACACAGTATGTGTTTTTGAGTTAGATGTTCCAGTATAGGTCCCTGGATAAAGTGTTGCTTCCTAAAGGTTTTTTCTCAGGGAGTAGGAAAATAGCTTATACCTCTGTATTACTCATGGGAAAATAAGACGAACTATTGGATTTTTACAGTATATTGAGTATGATGGACTATAAGTGTCATACTAATGATTTTCTGGCAAGGTTGAAAGTGTAAGTGAAGATAATATATAGGATTGGAGATTTTCTGCTTTCTGAAAGATCAGCCTTTCATGGGAGAATAGGCACAAGGATAAAGCATGACTTCTAGAAATCCTGGGCAGTTCTTATCTAATGAGGTATTTATACCCCTACTGATTCTTTTGCCGCTTGCCAGATTTCTTCTGTAAGCAGTGAGTCTTGCCAGTTCTGCTGTGCAAGCAGAACCCACTGCCCACACAATAAAGATTTAGTTCTTTTTTTAGAGGAAGCCCACAAATGAACAGAAACACACATTTCTGGATTGGGACAGGTTGGCAAAGCTCCTTATGCAAGTTCCACTGAACTGCCCCATTCCAGAAATTACCATTGCTGCTCATATCCAGTTGTCCCCAGGAACAGTAGATATCTGTTATGCAAATTGTTGGCAGCACTTGCTGAACAGAATTGTCAAAGATGCAGAAGAATCAGTGGGGACTTGAGCACCTCATTGGAAACTACTCCTTGTTTCATGGTAGCATTTGTGTTTGGGGAAATACTGCAATTGTGCAACATTCAAATCACAATATGTGATATGTGAGTGTCAAAAGCACTTACTGGATATTGTTGCATCACTGATGACAAGCACTGATGACATGCCCATGACGTGCTAACAGTGCTCAGTTAGTAAAGTGGCATTGTAAGAGAACTAAATTTAATTACTTCAAAGGAAAGTGTACATTTTGTCAGTACAATTCATATGTACCTTGAAGAAACTAATGCTGACTGCTTTGAATTTGCTGTTTGCTTGCCATCATTGAAACAATAGGAAATATCTATCTGAGGCCTTTGACACATATGCAACATGTATTGTAGCAGAATACTATGTAAATGTAACCTTGACCATTGTCAGCATTCTTCTGATGTTGCTGTTTTCAGAATTTGCAGTATTTGTGTTGCAATGTTTATAGGATTCCATGAATGATTTCCTTTACTACATATATTATTCCAGTATTCTTGATTGTCTCCTTGGGAATAATTTCTTTTTAAAAATTCTATTGGCCATGAGAAGGGAGTTAATGCTACATAATGAATACACTTGTGCAACAGCCACAATCCCATCGCCTTCTACATGGAGAGCTGGCTTTTCAGAGAAACCAGGATGAAGTAAAAAAAAAAAAAGTTTTTATGTCAGAATTGGATGTATATAGGCCAAACTACACACAATATTAAACATGTCATGTGGCCCTACATTCTTTTGGAAATAAAATAAAATAAAATAAAATTGTCCCTCTAGCTGAACAGGCTTGGGACAGGAGCAACCAGAAAGAGCTTTTTAACTCTTTATCATTCCACAATTTTGGCAGAAATCTTCCTCTCCAGAACTAATATTTGCACTGGGCATGAAGCTACTTTGGCACCAGTAGCCTTGGAAAGCTTGTAAATGGCAAATATAAACAATTATGCAAAAATGTATAATTATTTAGTTTCCTGAGACATATGTCATGAGTCAAACTCCCCAACCTCCCTTAGGTGATGTACTGCCTTGACACAAGCTGTGTATATGTAGGTCACAGACTGGCAAGCACTTCCTCTGAGAATGCTGCGTTTCTTTATTGAAATGAATGGGAACAGCAAATGCATGATAATTCAATACATTCCATGATGCAAATGTGACATTTTGGACCAGGCATTTGTTCTTATGTCACATTATTGTCGTGATCTTAGACTAGAGTACTTGCATGCACTAGTTTAGATCAATATTTCACAGTGGTGCAGGTAGCTGATTCTGAAGTATTGGGATTTTTGTTTTTCAGAAGGAGTTTAGAACATTTTAGAAGCTTTGCATAATTATTTAGGAAAAGCAAATGAACTGGGCTTAGGAGGTACTAACCACATCCCTCATTTTTAAAAATCTCAATTTGAAATACTTGTTGCCTAAAATAATAGTTATAGATAATTTACTTGTAAAATTACTAGCTTCTGGCAAAGTATATGGAAAAGATGTTTTCAGTATGGGATTATACATATTGCAAAATAGGTATCTTGGCCAAAAATAATATTTTATTTTATTTTATTATTTTATGTAGTATTGAAATCTCATGCACGTCTGTTCTGAAGTCAGTCCTAGTTTTACCAATGGGACTGACTCTAAGTTACATGTGGATTGGATTTCAGCCTAAAAATATTCCTGTGAATGAATATAAATACTAATTTGACTATATAAAATGAAAATGAAAATATTTACATCTATGCATGTTCATGCAAAAAGTCCTGTTGTGTTCAGTAGGGCTTATTCCCTTGTAAGTGTATTAAGATTGAAGGATTGGTATAGTATGAAGCATATTGTAAAAGAATCTGATTTCCCTTTTTGAAGTACATTTGAGCAAGAGCAAAGATCTGCAGCTCCAGTTAATCCTCAACTTCATTCAGTTTTTGTTTCCTTGTTAGCAATCTAAGCTAACATCTATTTTCTTCCTGAATATTTTAAGAGCTAGCCTTGAATACACTTAATCACAGTCAAACCCTCAGTGGAGAAGAAGCTCTGGGACTTAATCCAGTTTCTATTCAGGTTCTGAAAGCAGAAGTACTGCATAAAGTTTGGCACAAAATTTCAAATGTAAACCTGGGAGAATGGTGTTCTAATGCAAGTTTGGCCATAGAGTCAATGAAGACCTTGAACAAGCTGTTCCCATTCAGCTTCATCTACAAAATGAAAAATGTAGTGAACTACCACATTTTAAGGCTGAACAGATAAAAACATAAATTATAAAATAGTATATCAAGAGAACTTTATTTTTTTGCTTTGTTTGTAGAATAATACGTTATTTTATATTCTTTCAGTATATAATATATTCTTTATATTAGTTATTCAGCATATGTAGTAATTTATGGGTAGGATTCAGAAGAGTCCATCAACAAACAGGAGTCTTATTTGTGGACGAGATGTGTGCAAATATTATTATTATTATTATTACATTTCTATGCCGCCCCTTGCCGAAACCTCGGGGTGGCTTACAACACAATAAAATACATTGAAACACAATAGAACATAATAAATTACCATTAAATACAAAAATACAAAAAATACACTGAGTTACAAATATAAAATTAAAATTATCAGTATAAAGTAAGTCAATAAAAATACAGGAGGAGAAAGAGAAGGAAGAAGAAGTTGCCCTGGCCAGATCATATGTTTTAACAATTAAAATGATGTTTAAATAAGAAGGTCTTTACCTGGCGCCGAAAAACCAGTAACGACGGTGCCAGGTGGACCTCTTTGGGGAGTGAATTCCATAGGTTGGGCGCCACCGCAGAGAAAGCCCTCCTCCGAGTACTTACTCTCCTAATTTCTTTCATGGAGGGTTCCCGGAGAAGGGACTCTCCCGCAGATCTCAAAGGGCGGTCGGGCATATACAAGGGAAGGAGCCATTTCCACAAATTTACCTTCTCTCTGCAGTCACACACTATAGCAAAATAGTGTGCTATTGAGGGGCACATCAATATCTGGAGCAGATTTTGGGAGGAATAAGGGGCTGCAGAGGTATGTTGGTGAAAATTGTCCTGTCCCCCCCACCACATAATTTTCAGAATGACCCAGTCTTCTCACAGATTTCTGAATTCACTCATTTTCAATTAAAATAAATAGCAGGGTTAGAAAAATAATGAAAAGTAGTGTGTGTTCACAGAATTAAGCACATTTTCCTTTCTCAATGGTGGCCAATTGACATGTTTGTAATCTTTTAATTTCTTCATAATTCCTTATTTTATCTGTAAGTTTACCACTTCAGCATATGTTTAATTGTAACACTGTTTCACACACCATTTAGCTACATAATGTACCTTATGCATTTATGCATTTTTGGCATTTCTAATAATAATCCTAATTTCTTTGCTCATATATATTGACAGTTCAGGCCGTGGTACTTGTCTTGATAATGAGCCTCCAAAGCGTGACTTCCTTTATCCTGCAGTGGCCCCAGGTCAGGTGTATGATGCTGATGAACAGTGTCGCTTCCAGTATGGAGCAACATCACACCAGTGTAAATATGGGGTAAGAAGTTACGTTAAGTGTCCTGCCTAAGCATTTCCATATATTCATGACATCAGTGTTTGATGAGATGCAATAAACAGTAATACAGTTTTCAATAAGGTGTTTATGCTGCATCTTTTGTTTGAGTCATTTGTATATTTTATGTTCCCAAATGTTTGATTCAGAATGGACTGAGCAATTTCCCACAAAAGCAAGTGGATGATCTGAAAACTTTAGCTACATCTGTACACTCATTGCTGAGTTGGTTGGTTATAGAACTGCTGCTAATGTCTGATAGAGCAGCGTTGTATGATACAGAGGTTTCAGTTGGAAACCTTATGATACATTTTTTAGCATATATCAAACTCAATTTTTCAGTCCTCTATGATGAGCATTAAATATTCAACTCTATTTCTTTTTTCCTGTTATTAAGAAAAAGTAATGAAAATAACAATGGTGATGTGACTGCTGCTATTAATAATAATACTGAGTCACACAGATGAAAAATTAAAGGGTTCTATTGCAAAAATGAAACAAAACCCTACCCTCCTCCAATTTAATAACAATATTATTTAATAATTAAAATAAGCCCTTCAAAATAGTTTAAAATAATATGACATATAGTTCTAAATACTCATACAGTATATTTCTGGGTCAAAGCATCAGTTACATTGATTCTTCAATATCTATCAGTCATCAGTTCTGTTTAAATATGGAAATGGTATTAACATTATATTTTATTGATTTTTGTTGCCAAGTTATATATTATTTTATATACTTTTAAAATAAACGTTTTTTAAAAAAATATAATGCTTAGGCAAGTCAAAAAACTATAAACCAATATATCTAATCACTTGCCCTAATCACTTCTGTTAGAGCTATAGTACAAAGGGAAATCATTTTTAATATCCCCAGGGTGATATGTATAATATTATTCTTGGGATGATTCTTGGCAGCTCATATACTGATGGATTTAAAAGTTGTGTGAGGTTGGCTGGCAAACTGGTTAGGTCTCTGATTTTTTATTTCTTAGCATAGGCTTTTATTGTTTCTATTTAAACTCCTCCTCCCCCCACTCTTTAGCTTTCCTTCTCTTTATGTCCAAGCTAAATGCTTTGATATTTTTCTTTCCTTTTTTCTCTCAAGAAAGTCATCCTATTTTTAGAATGCCTTCAGTATCAGAAGGTTGGAAGACATTTGATTTTATTATGAGAAGTATCAACATAAAGTATATTATGTTTTAATTCACAGTGGAGAGTTAGTATGTGTAGGTTGCCATTGAGCAAGCAATTGATGCTTCTTATTTTCAAGCTGTATATTCGATGTTGTATTGATGACATGTTGTAGCTGTACTCAGTGGCTGAACTTCAAAGAACTGAGGGCAAAGGAATGTGTGTGGGAAGTTCTTTGCCATTCTGCCTACTCTTGTGATCTTTTGGAGTTGACATTTTATGGCAGTATTATATAATGATCTGATTCTCATGATACCTATGGTGGAATATCAGCCTTGTTTGTTTCAGAATGATTTGTCATATTTATTATTTATTGAATTCCTATAGGCCCAATAGCCAAAGCTCCCCAGACAATTTTAATAGTTCACAAAAACAATGCAATAAAATACCATAAAACCTTATCAAAATACAAATATTTTTAAACCAAAAATTAAAAACTGCTAAAAGAACATACAGTGAAAAGTAGCTCTGTAAAAACACCTGGTATGGGTAATCCCCTCAAGCCCTTGGATCCTATATCTTTGAAAACCTTAAGAATAAAGAGCCATCTTAACCTGGTGCCAAAAAGATGGCATGGTTGGCACTGGGTGGCCCTCAGTGGGAAGGTCACACCACTCAGAAAACCCTCTTGTTCTCAGACCTGATATGATAGATTGTGCAGGTGGTTAACAACACACAAACCATCCTGAAGAATCATGACTTGTTCTTGGATGGTTCAAGGTGGCTTGTGGCTTCTATATAACTTGTTTGAAAGAACTATAAAGATGCCTGGCAAGAGCAGCAACTCCTCCCCTGTCCCAACTTCTCCTCTGCCTACCTTCTTCCTCCAGCTCAGCACTTGATTTTTAGCAAACATAATAATTTAATGTTATCAATAATTATAATCATGTTGCTAAATGTAATCTTTTTCTAATGCTTACTGCGTTGTTCAAATTGCCCAAAAGAAAACATAATTACCCTTATTTCAGTGGGTTGATGCTCAAAGAGTGCAGTGTAAATAAGTTTTTTCCAGGCTAAATCTATGCCATTCTATTAAATGAAAGTGTGGTATCCTACAGCTTCTGCTGCTGTAACATAGCTTTTTTTTTTTTGGTTAACAGTGTCAAACCTTTAAAAAGCAGATAGTCCAGCTTATAAATGCATTCGGCATCTAATTACTTCATTGTTCATGTTCAGGAATTGCAAATTTGGTGAGTCTGAATGGAAATAGGAACTGAACAAATTTATTACATGTCCCTGCTACCAAGAAGTCCCTGTCACCTCTCTTCAGCAGGTGGGCACCTAGAATCAAGACTTTGATTACAAGCTTAAAAACTAGCCATGTTTATATCAAAGTAAGACAATAATCGCATCACTTCTGCTTTGCTGGATGGAAAAGCGGTTAATTGGTTCTTAGGTAATTTCTCACCTTTGTTCCTTCTCTTATATAGATGAGCCTACAGGTGGCATTAATGCTTAAAACTGATTTTAAAATTGCATTGGTTATGGCAGTGGCACAATAGCCCCTCAGAATTACCAATTGGCTTTGGGGCTGCAGCTAAGGGAAGCCTGTGGGGCAATGGAATGGTCATCCTAGGAGAATCTGGAATTGTTTTGCCTGTGTTGTAAGGTCTTTGCATGAGAGAAACAAAAGTATGAGTATGTGAATGAATCTGTTTGGCATATACACTTCTATGGAATGGAACACTGCTTATTATAAACTGATAAACTGAAGTGGTATAGCCCATTTCCAATAAATGAAGTTGACATGTCCCGTTGCCCTTATGTAAGAACATACGACCATAAGAAAAACCATGCTAGGTCACACCACATTTCCATCCAGTCTGATATTCTGTTCACACTGTGGTGGACCAGCTGCTTACCAGATCCCTCAAGCAGCATATGCATACAACAGCCCCCTCCTGGCCAAATTCCTTTGCAACTAGTGTACATAATCATACTATCTCTGATACCAGAAGTAACATATAGTCATCAAGACTGGTATCCATTGATAGCCTCCTCCATGAATTTGCCCAAACCTTTTCAAATTGTTAGCTATCACTTCTTGCAGTAGTGAATCCCATAATTTAACTGTGCACTGTGTAAATACGTCATTCCTTTTATATACCCTGAATAGATAAAAGGAAGTCAGCTCTTCCGCACCTTATATAATCTCAAACACCTATATTATGTCTTCTCTTATGCACCTTTTAAAAATCTAAGCAATCTCAGCATTTGTAACTATTTCTCATAGGGAAGTTGTTCCATTTCCTTGGTTATTAATTGCCCTTCTCTGTACTTTTTTCAGCTCAATAATGTTCTTTTTTAAGTGCAGTGACTAGAACCACACAATATTCTCAGTGCAGTCTCACCAAATGTTTGTAAAAGGAGAGTATAATTTCGGCAGTTTTATTTTCATATCCTTTTCTAATTATGCTTAACCCAAACCGTAACTGTCCACCACAACTTCAAGTTCCTTTACTTGATCAGTCATCATTAACTTAAATCCCATCAAGTTTTACTTGAAGCTGGGATTTTTTGCCCCAATATGCCTAACTTTATTCTTGCTTGCACTGAACTTCATTTGCCATTTAGATGCCTGTTCTCTCAGAAGCCTGTTTGGTTTTAACCACTCTAAATAGTTTGATGTCATCAACAAACTTGTCCAATTTCACTGCTCATTCCAAATTCCATATCATTTATGAATAGGCTAAAAGCATTGGCTCTAATACAGAATCCCAGTGTTTATATCCCTCAGGTTGGAGAAATTACCATGTATTTTCACTCTCTGCTTTCTGTTTTTTAAATTAGCTACTGATCCATAAGAGATCCTCCTCTCTTATTTTATGACTGCTAAGTTTGCAGAAGAGGAGCTTTGGTAAGGAACTTTATCCAAAGTCATTTGGATGTCCAAGGTCTACTAGATTGCCCCTGTCTGCATGTTTATCTCAAGGAACTCTAATAGGCTAGTGAGACAGGACTTACCTTTGCAGAAGTCACATTGTTTCTTTTGCAACAGGGCTTGTCTCTTATTTATTCTATGTTTAATAACGCTTTCAACCAATCTGTCCATAACAGATGTTCAGCTAACAATCCTATAAATATCCTGGAACCCTGGATTCTTTTTAAAAATTAGTGTTATATTGGCCATTCTCCTATCCTGTGGTGCAGAAGCTGATCTTAGGGACATGCTATATGTTTGTAAGAAGGTCAGCAATTTCATATTTGAGCTCTTTAAGAACTTCAGAACGGATGCCAACTGGGCTTGTTGATCTGTTAACTTGCTTCTTTGTGGTCTCTGTGCAGCACTCATATGGGCCCTGTGCCTGAATGGAGCCTGTTACTGTGAAGATTTACTAGCTAAAAGCTAGTTGGCAGGAACCCCTTTGCCATCCCAATATCCATTATAAAAGGGAGGAGTTCTCACCCATTCACTGAGTTCTTCTTTGACTTCCTTCAGTGCCTCGGGAACTTCTTTCTCTTTTTGTGAGGTCTTAAGCATTTTTGTCTCATTTTTCTCTTCAGAAAGATCTTACTGATTCTTTCCATATTACCCATCTTTTTCCCTTTTTGCTACTTTGGTTTCTTCTCAAATTGCTTAAAAAAATTATTTTTACAAACCTTCCAACTTAAAATGAAGAGAAGAAAGAAATCCTCGTAGTTTTTCCTGAACCTATTCCCAACTTTTCTCTTCTCCGCTCCTATTTTTCTTCAAATTTCCTTTCTTGACTCCTTTCTGATGAGATTGAAGGTTCATTTCTATAAACAAGTAAGAATATGGCTCATTCTTTATGCCTGCTTTGTTTTGGT